CACACACTCACAGTAACACACACACATACACACACACACACTGACGGCCATTTAAAGGGACAGGTCGCTGTTTTTCACCTTTCAGCTCTTCAGTTTGTAGAAAATGAATCAATAACTATTCTGATCATCAATTATTGGTTGAAAATCCTTTTATTGATCTGAAGACGTCACAGCAACATTTTACAAGTTTAAATGAGGTAACGTGATGTTTTTACAGCCTCTCAAAATATTTGATTTCATAGTTTAATATTCTTACATTTTATTTATTTATTTCATTTCACTGTTTTTATCTTATTTTATTGTTTTTTTCTGTTTCTCCTGGAATGTTTTAATATTTAGTTTTTTGTGTAAAGCAGCTTTATTCTGAAAGGTTCAGTATAAATAAAGTTTATTACATATAATAATTTATTATCTGACAATAAAATATCATCACTAACCCTAACCCTGACAATAAAATATCATCACTAACCCTAACAATAAAATATCATCACGAAAATATCATCACGAGTCTACTCGTTGAATTCGTTGAAATTAATTAACTTTAACTGATTTAATTAAAACAAACATAAAATCACCAGATAACAAGATTTATATGTTCAAATCATGATCAATCAATATTGTCTTGTTTATATTTATTATCCTGTTTCATTCTTATTTTGCTGCTGATTAATAAAGATTTATCTTTTCAACATTTCCTAAAAAACATGTAAAACATCTTATAGACGAGTCTGAAAACTGGAATTAATTTTGTTTCTTCCAGTCAGAGTGAAATAGTTTAATCTCAGCTCAGAAACCTTTAAGTTCTTTTGTATGAACTGTTTTTATTTCACGGACTGCACCTTTAGTTTCCCGCCTTAAGTGAGACTGCAGCAGAACAAAGGTCGACCTGCCTGAGAGCTGCAGCTCCAACCAGACCTCATGAGAAAAACGGGCTATTTAAGCAGCTGAGTCAGACAGGAGCTGCAGAGCAGACAGGAGCTGCAGAGCAGACAGTGACTGACAGACAGACAGACAGACAGACAGACAGACAGACATAGACAGAGACAGATAGGATGAAGAGAAACCAGCTCACCCATGGCTGACTGAGCTCCTGGTCTGATCAGATCCTGCAGGTCCTGCTCTCACACAGTCTCGACTCTCAGACCAGGACCATTGTGAACAAAACTGGGAGGGTGGAGTTTAAGTCCTTTCATATCAGGGCACAGCCAATCAGATGAGAGAGGCGGTGGCTTGGACACCACCAATCAACCTGCTTGTTAACGCTGTGAAGCCCAGATGTTCAAACACAGGGTTCTAAAATCAGACAAATTCTTTATGGAACTCTGAATGAAGTTTAACAACATTTCATTAGACAAAGTACAAAGATATCAGTGTGTGTGTTATTGGTTTATTTACTTCTTTATGTTTGTTACTTAATGTTGTCACCTATATTATGACCTGTGGTTGTATATCATGGAAATTATTCAATGTAATTATACCAAAGAAAAAAAAATCTATAATTTATTCAAACTATGTTTTGTATTGTTGAAGAAAAATCAATTCAAGTCCAGTTCAGGTTTGCTGTGGTTGTGTGAGTTTAAAATGCATTTGCCGTGCATCCTGTGAACTGACATACACAGAGCAGGTCTGAGTCGCGTGAACGGAACCCAGAACAAATGAAATAAAGGTACTTCTATAACTGCATACAGTAGGACAGGTATGTAAATGGTAAGCTACTGATCAGGCCGGTCAGCAGACGTTAACAGGTATTAAAACGGGAGTCAGACGGATTTAAGACAAAAAGGTAGGTGATCGACCAAATGTGATGGAGACAAAGGGCAGCAAAGGTAGGTGTGGGGGTTTGGTCAAGGGGGAAGGAGACAACAAGATTACACATTTAGAATATGTAGATCAAGGGACCTGTTGGAAGCTTACTACAATGAAGATAAGCTTGGAGTTTGACCATAACTCAGGTTTATTAATAGCAACACCGAGGATGCTATGAGGTACACCAGTCAATAGTCAATACATATATCTGAGCACCCACCTCCTAGAGTAGTACGCATGCGCAGCTTTACTGACTACAAATACGGTGGCTGTAATAGCTCAAACCGAACCAGTCTTGACATAGTGAATGATCTACATCCCCTTTCCTTAGCTCATGCTCCATAACCTTAATAAACTATCTAGCTAAACAGCAGACGTAACAGGGGTTATGTCATTACCAACATTTAGCAGATACGATATCTATGACAGCCACATGAATGTGAAAAATCATGTCACCCTGCTGAGATGTAAACAAAATAAATGTCAATCACAAATAACCAGCATGAAATTGAGACCACAACGAGTAAATGTACTTTAAACATAAACTCAAACACCTGAATGTTAGCTCATCACACATCCTGAATTAATCTAAATGATGTGCTATGCATGTTTAACTGACAAATAAACTCAGTCTCTGTACTTAGGATTTGGTTTACTAACACGACCTGAGCGTGTTGTGTTCGAAGGCAGCTTAGCTACAGGTATTTCATCCTGGAGCTGTTCAGTGTCCATTGTTTCAAGTCTTTGTCCAGTATTGTTGTCTTTTGATCCAAGTCCACTATCCAGGTGGTCAGTGTCACCAACATTAAGCTGTGCTGGAGCAGGCTCGGATACAGGGAATATGTGTTGCCGATTCCTCCTGTACAGCTTTCTGGAAGAGTGCTACGTGTCTGCCTGGACATTCGTCTTTGTGCAGGAGAACTTAGCTTGGCATCATGTGGCACGTTTCTGAGATTTTAGGAGATTGAGAAAGACATCAGTTCCGTCTCTGTGAGATTTCTCCATGAGATGTTTGGCACTGCGCACAGCTCTCTTAGCTAACCCATTAGATTGGGGATACTCTGGGCTGCTGGTAACATAAGTGAAGTCCCATTGTGCGGCAAAATCTTTAAAGTGCTGGCTTGTGAACTGTCTACCATTATCTGATAAGAGAGTGTGTGGTGCTCCATGAACTGAAAAATGTCTCTTAAGTTTTGTGATAATTGTTGCAGAGGTTGCATCACGAAGCAGGTCGATCTCATACCAGCCTGAATATGAGTCCACTAGCACAAAGTACTGCTGACTGCACCATTCAAAGATGTCTGTTGCCACAATTGACCAAGGCAGGTCTGGAACCGGATGTAGCTGGAGTGGTTCTTTCTGTTGGTGTGATTTTGTGCTGTTACACACGGAACATGACTCAGTCTCTTTGTTTATGTCGTCTGTCATAGTGGGCCAGAAAACTATGCCTCTCGCTCTCCGTCTAGTAGCTTCAGCACCAGGATGCCCTCTGTGCATGATGCTTACGTACTCCTTTTGTAGTGACACAGGAATGACTGCCTTGTGGCCTTTCATGATGACTCCATCTTTGATAGTAAGCTCATCTCTGAAAGGGAAATAAGGACAAATGGCATGTGGAAGATTGCGTTGTATCCTCGGCCATTCATGTCTGATGATCGTGCTGAGTGTTCAGCACTTTTCTCAAGCGTTATAGAACATACAAAATAACGTCACAGTTACTTTGC